GTACAACTGCTATTTCTAAATTTAAGCATAAAGTATATCATTATAATCGTCTAAACTTATATTTATAAGTCAATAAATGGAACGGCTTCATTATTATTTAGTTTGATATGAAAACAATTGGTTTTTTAAAGCTTTTGCAACGGATTTCATGAGGTATTTCATACTGTTTTAATTGATATAACTGTTGTTGGATTCAGTGAATTAAATGTGAAATTCTAAAAATGTTAAATTATCATAAGTAGGAAGAGAACGTTGTATTGTCAAAATTAGTGTTCTTTTAACAGAAACTAGTATATGAGTATTCGACAGAAAAAGAAAGGTTTGCAGATTAGACGTATTTAAGTTATTAGGAATTTTCACCTGATAACAATTCCATTCTTTCATATAGTAAACTATTTTAATTATATTGCTGAGCGAACTTTTTTCAATTATGATTTTAAGCCCTGTAAATGAGATTGCACAACAAAATTATGGTGACTTGTGCTAAAGCTAATTTATTATTAAGGAATAAATAACCTGTCAAAAATGAATGAGATAAAATCAATGAAAGTCGCCATCTATGTTCCAAAGATATAATGTAAAAACGATTATTCCTATCATCCTCAAGTTGAAAATTTATAACTTGCATTATTCTACTAAAAAGATCATAAATTGAAGCAACAAACGAGTATACCATCCTGATTAAAGAATAGAGGACGTCGATTGTCACGTGATGGCCTGTAACGTTACAGTTTTAAAACAGAAACGAAATGTATTACAGGTTTTTTTTCGTTGACATTTATGGAAAAGTGAAAAATGAAAAAACGTTCCGATAAAGACTGATAGTTTTGAAACCTATTACAAGCCTATACTAATTACAATAAATTATCATTAACTGATTACAAATAACAGAACCTTTTATTTATTAAAATGACATACTGAAAAGATTTAATACAAGTTTTTTTTTATTTAGAAAGTTGATTAACGTGTAAAACTTTATTTAGTTTTGTTTACATTTTTTACAAGAATCAATTGAACGTCTAAATAATTACACAAACCAAAAATCTCAATTGAATGGGTTGGATCAAATATGTCTGGACTAAATATAATCAGATAAGAAATTTCATGATCATTGTGGAAATATAATAGTCTCTATCGTAATTTAACTCTTCAATTTGATTAGTTAAGATCAATACATATTTTACGTCGTTATAAATATGTTATCAAGTTAATTATTGTTCATACTAAAATTCCCACAGTAATCCAGTATCTTTCTTTCATTAAGTAATGCGTTAACTCAAGGATTTTATACTTCGCCATATTCTACAAATATTTAATAAGTCCATGAGAAATTGATGATTCTGATTTTAAAACGAAAGTGTTAAACAAACGTACTGATAAGGAACAAAGATATATAAATTTAAACTTATGTATCATAATATTAGTCATATGATGATAGTACAGAAAAAAAATTTGGGAAGGTGTTTATTTTGAAGTTAGTAAAACAGCATAAAAATTATATTTAATATGTGTGCTCTTGAAATATATATTAAAGATCCTTAAACAACTGGCCGTCTATAATTTGATTTATTTACACGAAATGTGTTGTAAGAGCAATCCTATCAATGTAATAATCTTATTAGTATAAATTAGTATTGATACGTTTCCCACAATTTATAGATACACATGGGAATTAAAATCAATGAAGGTGACTGATTGTTAACAAAGATTTCATTAAATGTGATAAAGATATCATAGCAGAACTTGTTCTCCATGTACTAGGTTAAGTACTTGATTTCTTATAGAATTACTCATAAGAGCACTAATGTTACCAATAAGTTGCTGATGTGAATTCACAGAACTCATACAAGTCATACAAAGTAAAAGCTCTGTAGATAACAAGATTATGTTTATATGTACACGAACGGATTTGTTCCCGTTTCTTAAGTAATCTTCACGAGTTTACCGTCATTTTCATGTTTTATGTGTAGTAAGCACAAACATGAGGTGAAAATTTACTTCTTAAAGTAAGTATCCTTTTGCATGAAGATATCGAGAAGCATGTCATGTTTGTAGGTTATTCTGTGTTTTACTGGTGGGTACAATAATTTATCACATATGCAATTCATCCATTGTCGTATATAAATATTTTAAGTAGTTCTCAATTAATATGAATACTGTATTCTGTTTCATTAAAACTAGAAGTTCTGTTAAAGTGATTGAGTAAGTTTATTGAAGCCTAATTTTTCTTATCAAATTTAATGACAAAATACATGTGAAACAGATGATGGATAATAGTGAAATTTAGGACGCATGTCTTGTTCTGTTTGAGGCTCATCAGGTGAAGGGACCTGGATCCCAGAGTTGATATTCACTCCCCGTGTCTAACCCTATACTGCCCGGTTCAAACGTCATTGCTATATCTACTTAGCTACTGAGATTCTATAACCACTGGTCTGTCTAATGGAGTAAAGTTTAATTTATTTGTATTGGTTGCTTGGATCTTTTAACTGATGCTTAAGACTGCAACTTATCAGTCACTATTCGGAATACGTGCATCCTATGTGGATTACCTCAATTAAGAAATTAGGTCACAAGCATTATGAGCAGAGATGGATGGTGGTTAAAGACTAATCAATCACAATTTCTAACATCAGCTGGATGATTCAAATAACTAGCAGAAACAAATTGAACTCTTAGGTTATTGTTAATTTAGAACGTTTGAAGAGATAGTTCAGCTGTTAATCTAAGACATGTACTGACTTCTCCTAAATAACCATTCAAAATCAGAATGCACTACCGGATAGCTGTTTCGTTACAATATATATTAACCTCAGAGGCCCAAAATAAGACGAAACGCGTGTCCCGGATTCCATTGCCAGTCACCATTTATCTCTGCATATAATGCTTATGAAGTAAGGGAATATCACGTCAATCGACACAGAATTCTAACGTACCAAAAAGAGACTGACCAATCACGGTCCCAAAAGTGAACAAGAAGATTCAAATAACCAATACAAATGAGACATGAAATGGTTCGTTCAAAATAAACAGCACTCAAACACGTTTAAACATATTTTATTTCAACGATATTCTTTCGATCAAAAGATTGAAACAGGTTGTATATATCGGAAAGTATTTCAGTCATGAATGTCACACAACGCTGACAACCTCAAATGATCGTAATACAATAGCACAATAACATGTTTTATGGTTTCACACTAGATACCATTTAATTTTTAAACTACTGGTACATTTTTATAATTCTTCAATATTTACTGCTTTTTTTTAACTAATCTTCACTGATCTGATTTACCGTGGGCAGATTAGTTTAAAACGGTTAATACTACTGTTTCTCAGTTGTGAGCAGTCAAATAGAAAACACGAAACGAATGAACACATATTATCTTGCTTAGTTGAATCAAACGTGATTAAGCATATTGATAAAAATTATTTAAATACATTTAAATCAAAGAATTACAAAATAACTAATCGACGGTTCTCGGTACACCATTCAAATAAATATTTAAAAAATGTATGATAAATAAGCAAATGTTGATTATTTCAAAGGTTACAATAAATAATTAATGCTGAGATGACATTTAATTCAATTTTTCATCAGTCTTTTGATTACCCGAAAACGACAGTTAGTTTCTGTTTAGTTTTTGTAAAGAACTCTGTTATAAATCGCAAATGAATATACATTTGGTGATTTTATTATTTGCGAATGAGTTGATAAAAATTTAGTGAAAAAGAAAAGAACAAAGCGGAATAAAATACAAACAGAAAAAGCGAATCTCTTGAATTGGAAAGATCTGTGAAACAAATATATTTTGGTTCATAAGTGTTTTTAGTTATAGGTATCATTGAAACCTCTTTTGTCATTTCAAAATGAATCGTACATGAACTGCTATCGAAGATCTAAAGTTAAAATATATTCAGCGGTATCCGTTGGTTAGTAAGAAAAACATGATTTCTGATGTTTAAACCTCACTTTCACAGTTATCACTGACGAACAAGTTTGAAGTTCTTTTTTTAACTTAGCAACTGGATTGCTAACCGTAAGATAAAATGACGGTTAAATAGTATTCAATAAAAATCTATCTATCTAATTACTAATATTGACAATAATAACATGAAGCAGTAAACTAATTCCTAAATAATTTGATATTCAATTGAAAAACCAAGTTTGAAAATATTTTCTTACGACACAATAAGAAAAAACATTAAGATGTAATATCAGATGTTTGCCAATCTATTCCATTATCATTATATATCAGTAACAGAACTTTCAATAGAAGATCAAACGTGATCTATTTGTACAGGAAACCTAGAATTTTATAACCTGTAGACTAGCAAATGTGTCAGTTTTCAGTATTCGACATCTTTCCGACTTCAGTCAGTATGTGATGCAGAGTAATCTCAGTTTACAAGTGACGGAGCGATCTTAATTTTATAATAATAAAAAGACTATAATTTTTCATGATGGCAACTATGTCTGAACCAGTATGAATAAGTGAAGCAACTGTTTTGGAATTATTAGGGTATTATTTTAATTTACCTCATGATAGAATAGCCGTAAAGGCAGGTAAAAAACGTTCGTTAGTAATCACTTAAACACAAACTTTAAAATATTATTCAATCTGGTAAATCAATCTCCAAATGAGTGATAGGAAACTTTTTATTACAGCTTCAGTACATATTTGATTTTGAAAAATAAGTCTAAATAAATTATGTAACAGTACAGTATTTTATAATGAACTTTTCACAATCTCCAATTTCTTACTAAGTATGTTTCTTGTAAACATTCTGTTGGTACTTACAAATACACGTTTACTATTTTTATAAGAAACCTAACATATGGATAGTGGAATGGTAATGACATCTTTATGTAATTATAATCCATTAAATAAAGCATAAAGTAAAAGCAAGCTGTTTAACATACTCGCCATATTTTAATAAATCTCACAGTTAGAGCAATTGAGTAATTTAATAAACATTTAATAAAAATATAATCTTACCATCTTTGTCAATAAGAACTGGTTCACCAAGTTGTACATAGAAGTACTCTGATTTCTCATAATTATTATCGTCCATTACACGAATACGAATGGTCTCCCTAATAAAAAAATTCAAAGGAAATTATCGTTAGAAAATATTTTAAAAACTGCATTTGAATATTTAATAAATGCGTTACATATGACTTTAAATAAGATTGTTGTTTTTGTTCAGTATCTATTAATTACCAAAATTTTATTTTAATGTTGATTTGCTCATTGACAATCAACGTATTTTAACGAGCGGCACAAACATTTGCATCTTCTTACAGAAAATATGATTGTTTATATAATTTCAAAAAATTCAGTTCTTATATTGTGGATCAACAACAATATTTCCCCGGTATATGTTGATTCAAACATTAATGAATGCCTAAAACACTTTTCAAAGATAATAAATGTTTATGTTACGTAATAAATATTAATTATCATGAAACGAAAATAAATTTTAAAATAACCGGTAACTAACCGGTAAACGTAAGATTAAAAACAAAATAACTTGACAAAAAACTATTTTCTCCCTACAAATTACATAATTGGTAAACGTGGTTTTAATCTTTGAACGTTAGTGTGACATCACCATATTAGGTGATAGATAAAAGCGTTTCATACTAAAATTTGTCACAATACACAAAATACTCATCTCACTGTGTAAATATTTTGATTTGTAAGAAACAAAATAATCACTAAAATGTTATTTGAATGATAGTTGAAAGCGTGAGTCAATTGAGGCTAGACCACCATGGAAAACCTGGAAGTATTGGACGACCGTTTCGTCCTATTGTGGGACTCCTCAGCAGTGCGTATCCACGATCCCGCACTCGCGAGATTTGAATGCTCACTATTGACTGATTTCGAGAGGTAAATCCGGGAGTTCTAGTGAGAAGTAGTGACCAATGGAGTTCAAAACCACGTCTGTTGTGAGATATCAACTCACTGAAGACAACTGGTGAACGGTTGCTCAACTTCGTGGATCAGTTGAAGTTAGACATTAACACCGTTGGATGCCGGCTCAGTAGTCTATCGGTTAAGTTCTCTAGCGCGAAACTGGTAGGTCCTGGGTTCGGATCTCGTGGATGCGCACTGCGAAGGAGTCCCATAATAGGACGATTAGAGTATTATGGTGTACGATGAAAAAAGAATGTGTGCTAACATTTCATCATATGATATAATTCAATTGTCAAAGACAAGTTCCATAAAACGGGACAGTAACTTCAATTGAATATAAGTCATGTGTCAAAGAGACAAACTAGTTTTGAATGCAATTAGATAATTGAAAACGTTTATAATACCGTTAATGCACGAAACAATGTGAAACGAAAGGCTAATTTGTAAGTTAATCATGAAACCATAAATAATAATGACAATATTTTGGTTAAGTCATTTTTAAAGATGTAGAAATTTCTTTGATCAGAAAATCGCGAAGGTTAATATGCTTAACATTCATATGGTTACTCGCAAACCTTTTCATTACATAATCTTTATTTTATACGAATCACATGATTTCAATGAAGTTATTCCTACCAAATATGATATTTAGTTAGTTTAGTATTAGAAACATGGTATGTATATGATAGACGTACATAAAAAAATTGTTAATAGTTTTCATCGTTCTAATATATCTCATACTTTAAAAGAAAATCACATATAGTAAGTCTTTTACGTAAATTAAAATTAAAATCTATTGTTTCTGTAAATAATTTTTATGATAACTTAAGCGAACGAGAAAACTTTTCCCTCTGAAAAATTGAATTTTCTAATTAATACAATTTTTATAGGAATGGGTGAATTATGGGAGATTACGTGACTTGACGTTAGCACCGCAAATTAATTATAGCACATACGAGAATCGTTCCAGCTTTCTTTGGGTGGCAATTGTTAGACAGCCTGAAGGTTTTTTTTTCTTCATTAATAATAAAGCATGAGAAAAAACATGTTCGATGTTTTCTCACTGTAGTCAGTCACAATACAATGGAGATAAAGGATCAGAATACACATTTTAGGATCCTTGCACTATAGAAAATATCACATTGTCACTGAAACCTTGGCCATAATTTCCGAACAGTCGCTGTCAGATTATTTAATTCTTTATTACAGAATAAACGATGTGTTTACTTTTCTAAAACTAAAATGAATATAATATCATAACGAAAATACTCTTTTTCCTGTCATAAAATACTGAAACATACTAGATAACATGTGCTAATGTAATTCTTAATAAGTAGCATTGCAGTGAATTATGATTACTCATACTGTTGTGAATGAGAACACGGGTGAGGACAACCAACTACGTATTTAGCGCAAATTACAACGTTACTTGGTAAAATACAAAAACCATGCTATGATACACTATTTGCAAAATGTTCTTCAATTGCCTCAGACTTCATTGTTCCTGGATTTCCACACAAATTGCTTTTTATTTCTGTTCTTCTCTTCTTGATCTTCTCAATCTTCTGCTGTCAGATATTCTATTCCTTACTCACCATATATACTACTTATATCGATATCAGTAGCTCACACCACACTCGTCCCCCCTTTTAATAAGCTGTTCTCGCAATCTTTCTGATCGCCGTACCATTGTCTCCTTTGGTGCTGTTCGTGACTCGTGCTCATGATGTTCCTGAAACCATCTCTGTAGTTGACTGGCATTTACACGCTTCTGCTTGTCTTCTCTCCGGATCGTGTAAACTGGGCCACGTCTCTCCGTGATTATGTACGGTCCCTCCCATTTCGGGGTCAGCTTTCCTGACCCTGGTCCCCCTTCAGTGTTAGCTCTCCGTTCTCTACACTTTACCAGGTCCCCCACTCTAAAAGGCTTCCATGCTCTTCTCTGCTGTTCCACCTTCTTGGTGTCTGATATTTGTTTCTTTTTCACGTTCTTTATTGCCTCCGTCCTCTCTTTCCTTAATCTTGTTGCCGTCCACTTCTGCTGCTGTGGCCAGGTCATATTATGCATCGGAAGTCGTGGCTGTCTACCATACATAAGTAGGAAAGGTGATTTCTTAGTTGTTCCTTGGATGGAGGCACGATGCGCCAGCAAAATTAGTGGTAACTCTTTCTCCCAATTCCCTCCTTTAGATGCTAACCATTCCTTTAATGTCCGGTTGTTTCTTTCCGTAAGCCCATTCGTCTGAGGGTGATACGGTGTAGTTCGTATCCTCTTGATACCGAACTGCTTCAAACGGGCCTTAAACTCGTCACTTTCAAAACAGGGACCCTGGTCGGTTAGTATCATCTTCGGTACTCCATGACCTGCTACAATGTGCCGGATTATTACTTCGGTCACTGTTTTCGCCCGCTGGTCGGCAATCGGTAGAGCGTCGACCCATCGTGTAGCATGTTCCGTCATAACTAGTAAGTATCGGTTGCCGCTATCCGTCTGTGGAAATGGTCCCATCACATCTACCGACCATAGATCACCAACTGCGGTTACTGGGACCGACTGCAATGGCGGTTGCATGTATCTATCGCTTTTCATTAATTGGCACTGCTGGCACGTCAACACATATTGGGCCACATCGTCTCTCATGCCTGGCCAGTATGCACTTTGCCGTAGTAAATCTGTCGTTCTTGCGATACCAGTGTGCGCTACCTGATGGCATTCGTGTATCATCTTACGCCGCCAGTCTTTCGGGATCACAGCCACCCAATTTTTGTCATCATCCTGCCAGACCAGAGCTCCATATGTGTTCACTTTCAGTCTGTCCTTTTGCCGAAGCAACATTATTGCCTCCTTGTCCATTGCTCGTTTGTCAAAATCTGCCCCCTCTCTTATCACTCTGATTACCTCTCGCAGTTTAGGATCAGATTTCTGTTGCCGGACGAGTTCTAGTGGGTCTCCCTCTATACTGTTCACTGCGTATGCTGTCAATGGAAGCTCGGCTTCCATGTCTGTTCTTGACAGATAGTCCGCCATCACATTTTCCTTCCCTGGAACATGCCCGATACTGAAGTCATACTCCTGCAGACGTATCATCCATCGCGCCAACTTCCCACGTGGGTCTCGTGCTGTTTGTAGCCACTGCAGAGGTTTATGGTCAGTCTCGATGTGAAATCGTTTACCTAACAGATATGGTCTCCACTTGTCTACTGCCCACACAATCGCTAAACACTCCTTTTCGATCGTTGAATACTTCTGTTCGGCAGGCGTGAGAACGCGACTTGCGTATTCCACTACTCTATCAGACTGACTTAAAACGGCACCTATACCATGGTCACTTGCGTCTGTTGTCACTGTAAACGGTTTCTCCAGTTCGGGCAGTCTGAGCGTCATCTGGCGGTCGTCCAGCATGTTTTTGATTTGATTAAACGTTTGTTGGGCGGTTCCAGTCCACGAAAATTTAGTGTTACTCAACAACTTATAAAGGGGTGCTGCTATTTCGTTGAAATTCTTGATGAACCGACTGTAGAACGCCGCCCTTCCCAGGAACTGTCTCAATTTCCTTTTCGAATTCGGTACAGCAACGTTCTTTATAGTCAGAATTTTCTCCGGCAGTGATTTTATTTCTCCATTTCCCACTTTATGCCCCAACAACGTGATGCTACTTTTCGCCATCTGTGACTTGTCCTTATTAATTCGAAGTCCGAATTCTTCAATTCGCTTTAGGACCGCTTCCACATGCTTGACATGATCTGTTTCTGTCTGGCTGTATACGACTACATCGTCGCCATACACTTCGACGTTATCCAGATCCCTGAGCAGTAGCGACATTAATCTTCTGAACGTAAAAGGTGCGCCCGCCAATCCGAACGGCATTCGTCTAAATTGATATTGTTTATCACGTATGGTAAATGCTGTCTTGCTTCGATCGCTCTCTTTTATAGGCAGCTGCCAATAACCTGACCGCAAATCCAACACTGTAAACACCGTGGCATTCTGCAGCCGATCTAATGTTTCCACTACTGTTGGCATTGCACACGGCTTTAGTTCTGTTATATTATTCAGTTCTCTAAAATCAACACAAAATCTATATTTCCCATTCGCTTTCTTTACCAAGAGTACCGGTGAGCTATACGGGCTGTCCGCCTCCTCAATTATTCCTTCTTTCAGCATCTCTTGGAC